GATTTACTTTGAAATCTTTGATTTTGGGGGACAAAGGTTGAAACTTTTGTCTGAGAAGTGGCAAATCATTGGTCTTTTAGTCGGAACTGATTTCGGAATCGGTAGTTAAGTCTTCGCTTGTAACAAGATTGCAAACTGGATGAATAATTGATTTAGAACATGACAGATTTAAGAAGAAAAAACATGTCTTTTGTGGTGTGAAGTCTGTGTAGCAGAACCATTGACATTTTGTAGAAACATTTTTATTATATTACTGGTTTGTAGATCGAAGGAGGCTGGAATGAAGGAAAAAAAGGGCCAAGTATATGGGACAAGTTCACTCATGTCCAAGGTCTTTGCTTCCTTATCAGCTTAACCCCATGTCAAAATCACAACTAGCTCAATTAACTGTTTCTTTTTCCTCTTCTTAGGGAAAATTCTCAATGGAAGTAATGGCGATGTGGCTGTGGACCATTACCACAGATACAAGGTTAATAAAAAGGACCTTTTTTAGATGTTGTGATTCTATTTGAAAGCTTGGAGTAAAGTATCAAGGGAAATCTATATGAGGAGCTTCACTATGGTTTCCATATTTCTTTACTTATCAGATTGTTATTCCAATGATTTGCAGGAAGACATTGAACTTATTGGAAAATTAGGATTCACTGCTTACAGATTTTCCATCTCATGGTCTCGCATTTTTCCTGGTATGTTCATTTTATTTTCATTTAAAGTTTTGCTACTTTATCTCTGACTGTTAAACTAAAATATCTCTCCTCATCCATCCGTCTTTTGTTAAGACTCGTGTTTGTTCCTTCTTTTTGTGTTGTGCTGTTAATTAATCATCTCAGTCTTTATACTTAAATCTCCATATTTGTGTGGTAATGACTTCTTCTATGTGTGATAATACGATCTCTAAACGTAGTGTAGCGTATGTGGTAGCTGTTGACAATGTCAAGTAGATATTTCTTTCTTTGCATGACAAGATTATTTTTATGACTTGCTTTAGAACCTTCATCATTTGTATGAATGTTTTGTTTGTCTCTTCATCTTTAAAATCCCAAAACATCCCCAAGGTCAGACGAATATGATATTGGATTCTTTTTAGTTGTGGACTTACTTTTACATACTTGAAATCTTGAACTCCTTTAGCATTGATGCTGGGAGACAGAAAAATAACTCTGAAACAGTGTTTGTACTCGTCTTCTGGTCTTTTTGGTTTTTTAACAAATATAAAGGTTAACTGATCATAGGGATTATTTGTCTTGATTTTACATTTGTTATAGACGGCTTGGGAACTGAAGTCAATGAAGAAGGGATTGCTTTCTACAATAATATTATCAATACGCTTCTTGAAAAGGGTATTTTTTCTCAGCTGAAATGAGCTTTTTCCTCTTTGTATAGATGATTGTTTCACGAGATGATTACTATTGCAGGTATTCAGCCGTTTGCAACTCTGTACCATTGGGATCTCCCCTCACATCTCCAGGAAGCATACGGAGGTTGGACAAATAGGAAAATTGTGTAAGTAGCAAACTGTTGTAGACTATTTCAATTTATGCGTACGATCTTAGGAAGCAGAAAGACGATTATTAGTCTTGTTTATGATCCCTTTCTTGTGCAAGTTTAAGTGGGACTTATAATAGTTGGTTCGCATCAGGTTTTAGATAATGCTTCAGAAGGCTAATATCTTTCATTTTCCGCGATTCTTTTATGAAGGTTTCCTCTTGCTTGAAATAAGGCATGCACCACTTTTTGTAGAATCAATTGTTTTGACATTAAAGTTTTCTTCACGTGCAGAGATCATTTTGGCCTCTATGCAGATGCTTGTTTTGCCAATTTTGGTGATAGAGTGAAACACTGGATCACATTAAATGAACCTCTTCAGACCTCAGTGAATGGACACTGTATTGGGATATTTGCACCTGGAAGAAATGAGAACCCCTTGATCGAACCATATTTGGTCTCGCATCATCAGGTTCTGGCCCATGCAACTGCTGTTTCAGTATATAGAAGCAAGTACAAGGTATAATCACTAACCTATTCCGCTATCATTTTCTGTTCTAGTTTTTTGGGTAATATAGCATTTTTAATTCTGGTTAAAGGACCTAATTTTGTGTTGCTTCACTCAGACGTGTGGTTATGAAAATACGCGTCAAGGTTTCTGTTGTTGACATCTGGTACCTTTATCCATGCATCTCAATTGCTTTTTATTCACCAATGTGCTTTTTGGTGTACATATATTAATCTAGGAAATACAAGGTGGACAAATCGGTTTGTCAGTTGATTGTGAGTGGGCAGAGGCGAACTCAGAGAAAGCGGAGGACAAGGTCGCTGCTGCTTGGCGAATTGACTTTCAACTTGGATGGTAAGTAAGATATGCATTGAATGGTTGGAGAGATTTGTTATCAATGGGGAAAAAGAAAGGATAACTCATGTGTCAAAGGACTTGCAAACGTTTGAGTATATATCATTCCTTAAAATAACATATTAAAATGCTTTGCAGGTTCTTGGATCCTTTGTTTTATGGAGACTATCCTGCAAGTATGCGCCAGAAACTTGGAGACAATCTTCCAAGATTTACTCCAGAAGAAAAGGAGTTTATGCTTCAGAACTCATGGGACTTTCTTGGTCTAAACCATTACACTTCAAGGTTTATTGCTCATGTCTCAAACATCGACGCTGAGAGTGACTTTTACAAAGCACAAGAAATGGAGAGGATTGGTAACAAACACAAATACTAAAATTTCTTTTACTACTACCATCTTCTACTCACTTCCTAGTAATCATCCTCTTTTCTTCTTTTTTTGTGTACACAGTTGAATGGGAAAATGGAGAGCCGATAGGCGACAGGGTAACAACTCTCATCTTAGTCTCCGCTTAATCTAATCTCTATTAAATTTTTGCAGATCTGCTAAAAGCAGGTATGCATGAGCTAGTAATCAACTAAACAGCTCGTGCCAATTACAGGCTGCTTCTGATTGGCTTTACATTGTGCCTTGGGGAATCCGAAAGACATTGAATTACATAAGCAAAAAATACAACCACCCTCCAATATTTGTTACAGAAAATGGTATTTTACCTATCCTTATAACTTTTCGTGGTTCAGTTTAATATGGTACAATGCATAGTTTGTTAAGTGGAGCAGAATAGTTTTGTTATCCAAATAAATTTGGCATTAGACGAATAGTTATTTTGGTCATATCGAACTTATTATATATATCCTGATGTTTAGTTCTCTTGGTCCAACACAACAGGTATGGATGATGAAGATGACGGATCTGCCTCTATCCATGAGATGCTTGATGATAAACGTAGAGTTGCTTATTTCAAGAGCTACCTTGCCAATGTCGCTGAGGCTATCAAGTGAGTCAACAACATTTTTCTCTGCATTCATATGTTTACGAGCACAAGTACTTAGGAAACATATATATGTACCTTTTTTTATCAAGTAAAACCGCATATTACAAAAGGTAACAGTACGAGTATTTTGTTAATGGTGACAATTGAAACAGAGACGGAGTGGACATAAAGGGATACTTTGCGTGGTCGTTACTGGACAACTTCGAGTGGGCGCAAGGGTACACCAAAAGATTTGGTTTGGTATATGTAGACTACAAGAACGGTTTAAGCCGTCACCCAAAATCTTCTGCTTATTGGTTCATGAAATTTCTGAAAGGCGATGAAGACAACAAGGGTAAAAAGGATTGAAACAAAAAAAAGGAAACCAAAGCTACTACTACATTTGCATGAATTGTGTTGTGATATTGTAACTCTACCAAATAGAGAAGTTAGTAGATAATGGTATAGAGCATATCAATACCAAATTACTTGGGCTTCAAAATCATATTCTGACTAAGATTTTCTTCGCTTCTTTACCCAACAAACTTTTGTTTTTGTCATATGGTTATATTAAAACTGATGTTACAAATGTGAGTTACAACCATAAGCCGGCAAGAAAAGAGATTCATTTGGAATCAAAAGTCCAAACAACGGAAACATATAATAGTTTTCCAAAATAAAAACTAAAACATAGAGGAAGGAAGCCGATGGATAAAGAGACCAAATCCTCACCACTAAAACCGAATTGATGATCCAAAACGCCCCCACGACCTTCCATTAGAACCTGTAGATGTAGTAGATGAACCAACAAAAAAAGCTTCGATCAAACCCAACAAGTTATTCGTGTTTTTTTCTATCCTATGGTTGTTATATTAAAACTGATGTTAAAAGTGGTTGATTAGCTATAATTTCCGGGGTAGGATAAAAAAAAACACGTATAACTTGTTGGGTTTGATGATCGTGCGCGCTTATGGTTGTAACTCACATTTGTAAAATCAGTTTTAATATAACAACCAACAAGTTATACGTGTTTTTTTATCCTACCCAAAAAATTATAGCTAATCTGGATTTCAGTTTTCTTTGTCTCATGAATAACTAGATTAGGACCCACGTTGATACGCGAATAAACATATTAAAACTTATTAATATCAAAATTTAAGTTTTTATTAGTAACCCGTAAATTACAAAAATATTTTAAAATATTTAAATACGGGTCTTAAACCATTAAAGTTTAATTTATATCTTAATTCACATGTACTAATTCATATTATGCAGACCCAACTATATCTTATTATAAATGTCATTGAAGTCATCAGTTTATTTTTCATAGAGATCTATACTCATCAAATCTTACACTTTTAAATCTCAACATTAAATATATTATTATTATTTTATAACATGTATAAAAATCCATTTTATGTAATTTTTTTTTTAACATTGAAAAGTATAGGTAGAAGATTTATATTTTTTTATAATATTCTATAACTATGTTTACAAAGTAAATATGTGTATATATTTTTTTTTCTTTGGTGTGTTTATGCATAGAAACTTTAACAATGACATTTCCATATTGTTTCTAATTTTTTTTTTCAATTTAAAATTTTTTTGGTTTTATCATTCATATTTAATTAAAATATCTATTTCCTCTCTAATTTTTCTTTTTCAATTGTTTATATTCTCTCTGTTTTCTTTCCTAATCTAATTTCTATAATTTGTTTAAACTATTATAAATATTTTTGAGAAATTTTGAGATATGCCATATGCCCATGCCACTAAAAATGCCACATTTTTGCAAGTTTTGCAAAAATACCACTTCTTTTTTTTCATATTCCAAAAATACCCTCTTTAAAAACTG